GACAGCAGGCACAGTTTTAGCTAACAGCAGCAAACATCCTCAGATTGTGCAGGCATACATAACACAGATAACAAAACTTTAAGGTGTAATTCAGTTTAACAGGTCACGTACATGAAAATTCTTCCCTGTAAAATTGCTTGTTTCAGATGTGTCGTTGGTCTCTGGGGAACAGCTCATTTTTGGAGCCAGCCTCAAGTGGCCACTTAAGGAACTGCAGTTTTTGGCACTCAGTTTTATTAATTTATTGATTCGTTTCAACGCTCTGGAGATTAAAGCCCGACTAGCCAGTATTAGCTACTTGTTGATTAATCTGTATTGACATTTAAATTTTTGAAAAATGACAATTAAAAAGTAACGAGGACAGGGGAGAAACACCCTACAATCGTGATACCAGTGGTGTTGTTGCATAGATTGTCCACTAGAGGGCAGTTTGCAACAAACAACCAGCTGATCTATTCAATTCAGTTGTGTTTATTTAGCATCAAATCATAACACGAGTCGCCTTAAGTACGGTGAAGACCCTGCAATAATAGACAAAATAGTAATATAGAGACTAAGCAGAGTCGGGAGAGTGTGAACAAATGGACATATAAATGAAGGCGATGTCTTTTTGTTTTGTGTCTCTAAAAGGAAAAAACATTGGCCAACGTATCAAGATATCTGATTTTTACAGGACTAAATATCGGTCTTAAAAATCCCGTATCATCGCTGCATGAGGCACACAACAACTTCTCCGCCTGACTCACCAAGCACATCGATGACTGTGCCAGTCTGCCTGCCTCAAGAACTGGATTCATGGTGTGTCATTCAAAGCTTTTGGGCATGAAGTGTAATAGTGTTGATTCATTCTTTGTTAATAAATAAATAAAAATGTACCTATGTGGTGTCATAAAATGACACTCTGGAAAGGTCAGTGGACATTTTAAATTTTAAAATTATTCATTAGTTAATAAAAAATAGTATTTATTATTATTTGAATTGAAAGGACTGACCCACAGTAGCACTGCACTTAGTCCCACACTCAGTGACACATA